AAGAGAAGAGGAGTGAAGAGAAAAGAGAAGAGGAGAGAAGAAAAAAGGAGAGGAAAAGAGGAGAAAAGATGAGACAACAAGAGAGAAAAAGAGAAGAGGAAAGGTGAGAAGAGAAGAAGAGGAAAGAGCAGAGAAAAGAGGAGAGAAGAAGAGAAAAGAGCAGAGAAGAGGAAAAAAGAGGAGAGGAGAGAAGAAGAGAAAAGAGGAGTGAAGAGAAAAGAGGAGAGAAGAAAAAAGGAGATGAGACAAGAAAAAAGAGAGGAGAGAAGAGGAGAGAAAAAGAGAGGAGAAAAGAGGAGAGAGGAAAAAAGGAGAGGAAAAGAGGAGAAAAGTCGAGACAAGAGAAAAAAAGGGAAGAGGAAAGGTGAGAAGAGAAGAAGAGGAAAGAGCAGAGAAAAGAGGAGAGAAGAAGAGAAAAGAGCAGAGAAGAGGAAAAAAAAGGAGAGAAGAAAAAAGGAGAGGAGAGAAGAAGAGAAAAGAGGAGAGAAGAAGAGAAAAGAGGAGAGAAGAAAAAAGGAGAGGTGAGGAGAAGGGGAGAGGGAGAGAGGGAGAGACAGAGAGAGAGAGATGGTCTCGTGTTAGTCTCTGGAATGTCTCTGCCATTATAATCTTTCTATAGTCTCTCTGTAATGAAGAGTGTCTCTCTCTCTCTCTCACACACACACACACACACACACACACACACACACAGGCTTTGGCAATAACCGCATTACCCCAATACCGCGGTCATGTGACTCCTACCGCAGGGTTGAGCTCATTACTGTCTTGACCGCAAATATTATTTATTTATTTATTTATGCTGGTGAAAGTTATAAAACACAATAATCATTATTTAGTTCTCATGACTGACCGTCTTCCATCCTGTGTTCAAGGGATTCTAAACTAACTAAACTGTTCAGCTGCTGGTCACTCCAGATTCACATGTGAGGGAGACGGACAGTCCGTTAAACATACGGTGGGTTTCTCTCATGTCTGATTATTATTAATTATTTCTAGGCGTCGTTATTTGTGATATCTACAGTTAACGTTCAGCTGAATACATACACACAGGCCTCTGTGAGAGGAGCGGAGGACCAGTGTGACAGGAGCGCGAGTCCCTCACTCGACTTTTGCTCTGTCAGACGTCAGTTTTTTCGTCTAAACTTGTCAGCAAAGCAGCAGTTAGTCAGAATCAGGCCGGTACTGCGGTGACAGGACCGTCTGGGTCTCCAGTCTGCTTGCTAAGCTAACCTGAAGTCAGACGCTCAGGTGTCCAAACACTGCAGAACAGGTTTAATTTCACCTTGATTGGGGCCGGAGGGATGGAGGTGCATTGGCGGTAAACTGCCAAACCACAGCAATACGTTGCTTTTTAAACCACGGTAAGAAAAAAATCCACACCATCGCAGCTCTAACACACACACACACACACACACACACACACACACACACACACACACAAAAGTGCCTGAAAGGAGACAAAAGGTTTGAACACTAAACAAAACGGCTGAAACTGTGAACCACAGCAGAACCAGAGGAGCAGAAGGAGGTCAGAGTTCACCTTTCGGCTCAACTCTGTGATGTCATGACTGGACATGTTCAGCAGCTGATCAGGAATGTTTCCCTGAGTGACCAGCATCAGAAACCAAGACCTGAGTGACGCCAAATCTTAAAAAATCCTGATGACATCATTTAATATAGACACAAGTTCAATGGTTTATCCAATGATTTTGAAGGGGAATGAGATGCTGAGGCGTAAACAGAGCGATTCAGAGTGGTTTGGTGTGAAATGGTTCAGATGTCTTTACAGTGGTGGTGATAGGAACCAGGGGTCGCCATGGCTACAACACAAATATAGACATTTTATTTACTATCCAGAACCACCAGTGAACCTACACGAGTCTTCTGAGTTTATATGGAATGTTGATGATGGAAAATAGTGAAAAATCTGAAATAATAAGTTTTCTTTGGGGACTATTTTGCCTCACAGTGCCCTGCATTTGTAATAAAATATATTAAATTATATCAAAACTTATAACTCCTTAACATCCTTTATGTATTGCTCCACCATGAATGGATTAAAATACATTGATTAAAATATATTTTAGACAAAAACGCCGTCACAAAACTATCGTAAAACAGAGTCTCAGACATCAAATTCATAATCATTTCATGTAGTAACTTTCTGTGAGGGAGCTTTTAGAGGCGGACGTCTGGTTCCTATCACCACCACTGTGAACAGTTCTGACTCGGTAAGTTTCTATAGAACAGAGCGTTTCACACCAAACCACTCTGAATGACTCTGTTTACATCTTAACCAGTTAATTATGCAGAATTTTGGAAAAATCAGTTGAATTCCCCTTTAAACTCTAACAGTACAAACTTACTGCAGCACTGGGGGCGGAGCTTACCAGGTTTTTTGGGTTATTTTTAATTACCTCCTATTTTTCTTATTATAAATCGGTTCTCTTCAATAACAAGACTTTCGTGTTCTAACGTTACCTTCGTGCTACACGTCAGAGGCTGCTCATCAGAATATAAAACAATCCACTAATTATCGGTGCTTTTTCCACACTGATACATTCTCAGACATAAAGGTACTAGACTGTCATTGGGTCAGTTCCCCTCCTGTCACTGGGGTTGGACCCTCAAGACTCCATCTCAGTAACTTTAGTCAGGGAACATAACTGAACCATAATCCACTGAAATGATATGTTCTAAGCTGTACTGACTCCACACACCCCGTCTCGTCTCCAGGCTTTTATTTTACTGTTCTGTTTAAAACATTCGGTTATGAAAAGGTACAAATACGAACTTTTCACCTGGAAAAACTTATTTAAGGTTCACAATCAGACCTTAAAACCACTGTTGGAGCTTTGAGGGAACATTTACACTGTTTGTACCTTGATGAACGGAAAATGTACCTGAACAGAACCTTTATTTCTAACAGTGTAGAGATAAATCTGCAGTTATTATAACATTGTACCATTACAGCACATCGTAAAAACATGTATTATGTTGTACTGTATTGTATGCACTGTCACATACTGTACTGTAAACAATCTTAACTTTTATAGTGCTGAATGTTATAATAATAGTAATAATAAGAATAATAATAATAATATCTTTATATGATTACTTATAACTTCCTGTTTTCAGTTTCTTATAATAATATCTCTTCTAAAAAATTGAAAATAAAAAATTAACACATGTAACTATATATATTTACTTATAAATAAGCAAATATTGGCATCGAACAGACGTGTAGAGAATGTTTACGCCACGTTGCGCTGCACTACTGGCCTAAAATGCCTGCATCGTATTTCTTGTACTGCATTTGTAACAATATAGACACAAATAATATATTTCTTTGTAAAGCCGTTCTATCAATATCACAACTTTTATATCTTACAAATGTTTATGTATCGACATCAACAGATATGTGCATGAAAAATATTGGATTCTGCGTCGGCCCACAAACCCCATATCCCCTCTCGTACAGAACATTTTCAGGCACTCCTTATTTTTCTGCTGTATTGAGACACTATAATACCGAATCGAACTGAATTATCAATATTGGCCACTATTATCGGCCAACCGATGTATCAGGAGAGCCCTACAGAAACACGAGCAAGAAAACTGACCAGACTAAAAACTATCAGCAGTCCAGGGTACCAGGGCTTTCAAGGGGCCTGTCCAACTAGGGCTGAGCAATGTGACAACATACGTAGATACGGTGATAAATTACGTCACAATACAATTCAGTATGCTTTTCATATGGCGTATATCATCAGTGCTTGTAGACACTGACCAACTGCATGCTTCATTATAAAATTAGTCAATTTAACTATATTTAGTGCAACACAGTATAACAAATCCTGAATAAAATCATTGTATTCAATGTTTTTGTATTTATCACTATTTTTAATTGGTTCCTTTTTCTCTGTTCTAACTAATCAGATGTCTAAAATATCATAACGTACAGTGTATCATGAAAAATTCTTGAAGTATCAATATTGTATTTTGCCATATCGTCCACCTCCATGTCCAATATGACCAAAACACTGAAGACGAGCTGATCTCCGCCAATAATTCCAGACATTTGTTGCGTCAGAAGAACCAACTCAACAGGTCTGAGGAGTAAATAAACCGGCCGAGTGATAAAGAGTTCAGCGTGTCCAGTCAGTCAGCTGATTTAAAGCCAATGGTCATTATCAGCTCACGCAAGCTCCAAGAAGCGATTTCGAGATAAAACAGCTGGATAATTTGGTGCATTAGTGAAACAAGAATCCTCTTATTCTGGTTTTACACTTTCCTTTTCTAATAAATGACTGTAAAGAGAGATTTAGGTTGATCAGGTCTATTTAGGTGTGTGTGTGTGTGTGTATATATATATATATATATACAGATGCAAATGTAGTGTGTGTGTGTGTGTGTGTGTGTATATATATATATATATTTATATATGCATGAGTAAAGAAAACTGGCTCTATAATCATGATACATAATTAAAGGGTTCTTTGCATCATGAAAGGGTTCTTCAGTTTCATGAATAACGTGCTGTAGATAGTTCCATATAGAACCTTTTTGAAAATGGTTCTATATAGCACCCAAAAAGGTTCTTCTATCGTTCTTAGTGAAGAAAATGCTTCTACACAGGACCATCTGCATGCTTAAATGGCCCTTCAAGTTAATGGAGAATGTGTTGTATGTGGTTCTATATAGCACCAAAAAAGGTTCTTCTATTGTGTACAATGTCAAGCTTGTACACAACAGAAAAACCCCTTTTGGTGCTATGTAGAACCATTTTTTAAAAGGTTCTATACAGAACCATATACATTCTCCATCAATCTGAAGACCATTTAGGAGTGCAACTGGTTCTGTTTTGAATCTATGGTTCTAAATAGAACCATTGCTTTTACTAAAGAGCCCTTAAAGAAGTGTCTAAAGTGCGCACACCTATTATATAACCACACTATAGTAGAGTTTCAATGAACTGTTTAAAGCCGGCAGCTACTCACCACGTTTCACAGCACAGCGACTCCAGAACAGAACCGAACGGAACCCGACAGAACACTGAGGGAAACACTAACAATAGCGGCACCAAAAAAAAAGAAAAAAAAGAAAAGAAAACACAGATTAAAGCGCAGTTCGTCCTCAACCAGCAGCACCTGTCGGCTTGAACTCTCTCCACATGGCGGAGAGAGAGAGAGAGAGAGAGAGAGACAGAGGGAGAGAGAGGGAGAGAGAGACAGGGAGAGAGAGAGAGAGAGAGAGAGAGAGAGGGAGAGCGAGAGAGAGAGGAAAGTTGGGTGGAAGTTTTTTTTCCCCCTCCGGTTCGTCCAGACTTCTTCACATCCGAGCCAAAAGAGCCCAGAGGAACAGAACTCGCTCTCCGGTCTCTTTTCTCCGACTATAAACCGCTTTTCCTCGACAAAATGCGGCGTTAAAAAAAAAACACAGCGTCCAAAATGTGACCTATCCCAAATCACTGTGACTCACACCTCTACGAAAGAGGAAAAACTTGACCAAATCCAGCGTCAACTCACTTCTTTCCTCAAAGAAAACGGCCAAATAAATCCTTAAAAAGTGTTAAAAGGTGACGACGCGACTTTTAAGTAGTTTACAACAGTAAAAACGATGAAAATAAAACCGGAGAGGGGGAAAAAGTCGCCGGTGTCTTGGGCCCTGCCTGCTCTCTCCCCGGTAGATCCCTCCGCTGCCACATTATTTGTTTCCCCACCCGTATTCGGGAAACGCCCCGCCCCTCCTGCGCTGTGATTGGCTGGTGGTTCATCGTCACAAGCATTCCGCTGTTCAGGATGCTTTGAACTTTAAGAATAATACCTGTAAAACTACTACTAAAAATAACGATAAAAATAAATTATTATTATTATTATTATTATTATTATTATTATTATTATTATTATCGTTATTAGTTCATGTGATTGTTGCGCTGCATTGATCATACAAACCTAAATTTGCCATGTTTATAAAGTAATAAAGCAAATACTGAACTGAATTTAAAGGCTGGGACGTTTCTTAAAGCTCTTTTAGCCAATCACAGCGCAGGAGGGCGGGCTTGTGGAACATTTTGCGGAATGAGTGACGTTGCACTTTCTTTTTTAACACACTTTCTCTTGTTTTAAGAATTTAAGAAACGCCAGAAGTTCCACCACTGAATATCTTTGCATTTTTTCCACTTTGTTTTTGTAAAAATAAAATGATAAAAAAAAAAACAACTTCTAGCCAATCCCAGATCCCAGCGAGAAGGGGCGTTTCTATGGAATGAGGTGACGTAGATGACTTTGTTTATTCATTGTTTTTTATTTTTTAATTATTTATTATTTGGCTCACTTCTTTTCACTTCGCCAGTGAGCTTCCCTTCCTTTTTCGGTTCTTGTAAAAATAAAAATAAACCGAAATAGAGAACTAGTGGCCGCTCGCAATCCAGGGGGGCGGGGCTTGTCGGAATACGGGTGGGGAGACACAAACCCCGCTCAGTATGCTGGTATCCGGCAGTGGTCAGTGTCATTTTCGTAAAAGGGGGAGGGAGGAAAGGTGTGTGTGTGGGGGGGGGGTGTTAAAGTGACAGCAGAGGGGTCTGTTAATAGAGCTCCTCGTCATCCTGACTAACACGTCACCTCTCTCCAAAAAAAGAAGCTGTGCTAGAGTAAGGAAAGGGAGGAGCGCTGAATGGGACCCAAACCAGTGATGAAACACTTGTTGATGATGGTTTCTAATATTAGCTTCTATTGACACAAAGAAGATAGTAATTGGAATATATATATATATATATATATATATATATATATAGAGAGAGAGAGAGAGAGAGAGAGAGCGCTATAAGTGGATTATATAACAATAACTGGTATGAGAGCTGCGCCACTGAGTATGTTTACTTAATGTGCACTTAATAATCTGATAACTACAGAAAACTAAAATATCTCTGCTGTCAGAACAAAACCTCGTATCTCCAAATCCGTAATTTTACAGGAGAAGGAAAAAACATACTTTACTTTTAATATAAGTCAGTGGAACCAGACTTCTTTCCACGTAATTCTGAGCTGTTTGTTTTGGTCCATTCATCATGAAATTTACATACAATGTAAAGAGCAGCAGGTATTTTCAGATTAGGTCATAAACTAAAAAATGACAAAAAAGGACAAAAAAGGTTTTATTTTTATATGTATATTATATTATATATATAAATATATATATATATATATATATATATATAGTGCCAAAAAGTGTTCTTTGGCTTGTAGCAATAGTGGAATGCTTTTGGTGCTGTAGAACCATTTTCAAAAAGGTTTTGTATAGAACCATCTGCAGCACATTCTCCATCACTCTGAAGAGCCCTTTCCCGATGCAAAGAACCCCCTTATCATGCAAAGGGTTCTTTGAGTGTTCCTGGTTCTATATGGAACCATTCCCTTTACTAAAGAATCCTTGAAGAACCATCTCTTTTAAGAGTGTACACTCTTAGCAAAAGGGGTTCTACATAGTACCAAAAAAGGGTAGCAATAGTGGAACGCTTTTGGTGCTATATAGAACCATTTCCAAAACGGTTTTGTATGGAACCATCTGCAACACATTCTTCATCAGTCTAAAGAACCCATTCCCAATGCAAAGAACCATTTAATCACCCAAAGTGTTATTTGAGTGTTGCTGGTTTGATGCAGAACCGCTCCCCTTTACTGAAGAACCCTTGAAAAACCTTTTTTTAAGTGTAGCAATTAAGTGTTAATAAAATATTTAACTGTGCAGTAATTTGTCCAGGAGTGTCCAAACTTTTGCATGAGACATTTGCTCCCTGTACACCTTAAAAAAGATGGTTCTTCAAGGGTTCTTTAGTAAAGACAGTGGTTCTATTTAGAATCATAAATTCTATATAGAACAATTTGCATCCTGAAATCGTTCTTTGCATGGTTAGACGGTTCTTCAAATTGATGGAGAATGTGTTGTGCACACTCTAAGCAGAAAGGGTTCTATGTAGAACTACATCTACAGCACATTCTCCATCGATATGAAGAACGCTTTCACAATGCAAAGAACCCTTCATTCAGGCAAAGAGTGCTTTGAGTGTTCACGGCTCAATATAGAACCATTTTCTTAACTAAAGAATCCTTGAAGAACCTTCTTAGCGTGTGGTTCTATATCGCACCAAAACTTGTTATGATGTTAAGCTTGTAACAGTACCAGAACCCTTGTTGGTGCTATAGAGAACCATTTTCAAAAAGGTTCTATGTACATACAACACATCCTCCACCAATTTCTCCACGTGAAAAGCCTTTTAAACATCAAAATTGTTCTATATAGAACAAAACAGAACAGAACCATTGTCTTGACTAAAAAAACCCTTGAAGAACCAAGTATGTACAGTAATATTATACAGCTGTGTTGTATATAATTATAGAAGTATTAATGCAGCACTATGATAATGTTATTGGTTTGTATAGCGTTAGTTCAGATCTTTTTTTGTAATAATTTAACGATTTTAACCTTTATGCGCGCGTGCGCTTTATTTTCACCGCGCGCGCGTTAATTCTGAATACGCTTTCGTTTTGTGAGGGACTTTAGCTTAGCTTAGCCTGTAGCTCAGCTTCTCATTTAGCCTGCTAATTGCGTCCAGCTCGAGTCAGTGGGTTTATAATAGCCCACAGAAATTAATCAAACAATCAAAAAACAATATTAAGACATTTAACCGCATATTATTTATCTGTGGAGAGAGAACCGGCTTTGCTAACGCCCCGTTAGCTACGCGATGCTAGCGAACCTAAGTAGTTGTTGCTAGGTAACAGTTTTAGTACGTTTGTTCTGCCGAGATGTGGCACCAGTGGAGCTCAAATGGACTCCAGTCACCAGAGAACGAACCAGAAACGGAGGAAAATGACCCGTTTCTCTCTTTCGCAACGTAAGTCGTTTTAATTCATTGTTTTTGTACAACAGTGAAATAGGTTAAGATGATGAAGGAAAGCGCAACGAGGCTTCATATTCGCCTATTTCTTGTTCGAGTTTTCCCGTTCCACCTTAAATGATGCAGAAGGTCTATTCTGGCGTATCAGGCCTGAGGCGCCAGTACATAGATATAATATCTAGATGCTGCGTTGGGTCCAGTCAGGCGCGTCAACGGCGCCGCCATTTTAGGGCGGTCAACATAGCTACTGGACGGCATTCAGTACCATTACAGAGTGGCAGTTTCAGAAAGATACTGTCCAAAATTACACTATTTCAGGAATATTACTCTCAGAAAGTGGCATAGGATTATATAACGGAGGGAACGCCATGATCTACACTCATGTCTGTGTGATGTGTATTGTTTGTGTGGTGTTTATGTAGATATGGCCGTGTGGTTGGTGAGGAACAGAGAACCTGTTGGTGTGATTGTTTTTCCTCTGGTTTTATATGAAGCTTATTTCATTTAATAGTCTATTCAGGGGGTCTTAACTTGATGTAGTAGTTATTTATGTACAGTGATGGTTAAAGCTTTGTAGCTCGGTAAGTTACAGCATTCCTTAATCCGTGTAGATATTCATAATAGATTAGCGTTAGCAACTTCTTACACGAAGCTGAAGTTAGCTTCTTATTTGCCAGCGTCTAGTTCGAACTTTCCTGTTCCACCTTAAATGGTGCAGCTTCAGGCACCAGAAAGTGGAACCATTTAAAGTGGAACGGGAAAACTCGAACAGCAGACTGAATACTTTCCTGCTGGTCCGGACGGCTAATTATCACGGTCAGGTATTAAAGTAATAAAAGCTACCGAGACCAGATCCGTGCAGCCCAGATTAATCTGTGTCTGAGGATTATAACTAAACAGATTTGGTTAAAATCGGTTGAGTAGTAAGGAAGTTGTGGCTGATTTAATTCTGAGACTCTCATTCTTAGACTCTCAGTACAAGTGAATCTGTTTACAAGCGGATCTTGACCTCTCCAACATGGCGGACGCGCAGACGTATCGCCTCAGATAGAGAACAACAGACAACGCAGTATATAGGCATGTATGTCTATGCCAGAATGTAACTGCTGCAACATTTAAGGTGGAACGGCCAAAATACAAACAAAAAGCTGGCTTCACCTTCGTGAAAGTGCAGAACTACGCCATCTGCTGGTTGCGTTCAAAATATTTTTGAATCGCCATTCATTTCGCCGTAGGGAATTTTTAACAACGTATTAAAAATCACTTAAAGCTGGAACGTTTGTGAAGCAGTCATTTTGCGACTGAACAAACACAGGACCAATGAATTAAATGTAATAGCACGATATTGCGCTAAGTAATATAACCGTAAAGGAGCAAAATACAATTGAACTACAAATCCCATGGCTCAGTGCCTGCGCTGCTGGGCGAGATGTGTAGTAGTGATGTCATCCACGCGACAGATTTTGTAGTCCGTTTGGCAGAAAAGCTCATTTTGAACGCTCTAACCACCCGTACGCATATATGTGTATATATATATATAGTACTGTTACTATGTTATGTGTTTGCTTTTGAATATTTATATATATAATATTTTAATGTGTCTGGGAACAATATTCTTATTTATTTCATATTTTAATGCTTTTGCTTGCAATGTGCATGTATTAAGAGTTATGCTTTGTAGTTGAACTAATTTTAACTTCATTAGGATGTCTGTGGAAGAAACAAGGGTGCTTAAAAATCTTATATAACATGAAGCTAGCATATATGAGTAATATATGCCATCTATGTATGAATAATGTTTTCTGTCA